GGACATTTTTTTTTTCACAGAACCATTGTAAAACTTCCACGTGTCATGGACTTTGGCCATATAATAATAATTAATAAATAATGAAATGAATATGAAAATGAGAATAATATGGCTAGTTACACGTGGCAGCTTATAGGGCAAACGAAAAGGCATATATATATATATATATATATATATATATATGTATTCACCAATACCACTCATAAGGTTTTTGGTCATTTCACTTTCACTATATATAATAATAACAATTTTCTTGGTGACTTTATGACTTTCTGAGTATCTACTTTCTTTTTTTAGAAAAGTATTTTAATGATGATGTCATCATGCTTACTTGATTTTTGAATTTTATGTCGCTTTTTGTGAATTTTTATTTGTGAAGTTATTTAGGGTTTACAAGAAACTGACATAATCCTTGAAAAAAAAAGAGGCAAAAACGAATGTGGTGTCTGATATAAATTAGAGGTAACATTCAATTAGAAGTTATATAAATTCAATCTCTATACATCTGAGTTAAAGTTCAATGTAAGTGTGCATATTATTGTCTTAACAATTTAATGCAACACGTAAGTTAAGGAAGCTATTTTAGTTATCTTTAATTGAAGCTCTATATGAAACATATTAATTATAAGGTTAATTTTAACAAGTCCTTATTTCTATTTAGTTAAAGTTTCTTCTTTTTTTGCTGCTATGTTAAGTTATCTACAAAGAAACGATCAGGGTTATGTGAAAAGTGTACACACAAAATGACTATCTAAATTATTTCTTACACTATTTGCTATCCATTATAATTTGAAGTATTTCACTTTCTCATTTAATTTCTTTCTTTTGAGAAAATCAAGTTTAGTCAACTTTCTCTATTATTGATTGGATTTATTGAACTTACAGAAAAAATCTAGTCCCATTTTTCATTCAAAGAGACTGTCATTGATATAAAAGTATAATTTATCAAATTTTATGATTTTTAATCAACTTCAGTCAGTAATGGAAAGCATGTTAGAAGAGAAAATTGCTTGCAGTTCTTAAAACACTGTAAAAAAAAGGACACTCCTATTGGGTATTTTACCAAAAAAAGTTAATAGATGATGAAAAATATTAACAATTTATGAAAAGAATTTCATTATTATTCTTCTTTAAAAGTGAGACATTAGAATGGTAACATTCTAAATAAATGTTAGTGTTTTGTTGACAAGTCTATTGGTTGACAAATTTAAAATATATGTCTTTATTGTACTTAATCAGCATAAAAGTGGATTAATGGCATTTTATAATGAAACTTTCTATTTTGAATTTCCTGGATTGCATTTGCCCAAAAAAATTTACTTATAGTATGAAATACTCTCGGTAAAATGTTTATAAAATCACTGAAACTAATATTATTAAAACTTAACAATTTGTATGAGATTTTATTCTCTTAAGTACATTTTTAAGAAAATAAAGTTAATAAAAAAATTTAAATAATTTTTCAAGAATTTTATAGTATTTATTTTTCAAAAAGAATTCTTCATATTAAGAGTATACAAGTATGTAATAATGAAATTATTCCACTTGCAACCAAAATACATTTATAATTACAATTTTTTCTAATTCACTTGGTTTAGACTCACAAAGTCTAGCTTCGACCCACATAATTCAGAGTAAGAAAAAAAATCCATAGAACCAAAAGACCTACATAAAAAAAAGATATTCATAGTAATAAAATAGCCTCAAAAGTTCATGGACCATAACTAATTCACACTAAGTAAATTGATCTAAGATCAAGATAAACAAAGTTGGATCGGATTTGGATTCACTCAGCTTTATCCTCAGTGTAAGCAAACTCTATTAGACACTTCAAGTTGAGTTAGCCTAGATCGATTTTCAGTCTGAGTTAACTCACACCAACTTTTAGGTTGAATGGCTAATTTTTGCATTATTTGTCTTATCTTGACTTTACTTTGAACTTTAGTTTTGGTTGACTCGTTTCAACTTTTGGCCTAAGCCAACTCCTCTCGACCTTTGGTCTAAGCCGACTCGTTTTGAACATCAACTAGGATTAACTTGTTTTAACCTTCAACTTAGGTCGATTTAACTCAACTATGGGTTTGGATTGATTTATCACAAATACGGTCATGGACGATTTCATTTGACAATAGATCAAGCTGACTTGACTCGACCTTCAACTCCGATCAACTTGATTTGACCTTTGACTCAGAACAAATTGGCCTGAACTATGGTTCGGACAAACTCAATTCAACCTTCACCCAAACTCCACTCAATTTTTGATATGGGTTGACTAGACTCAACTTTCGTCCTGGATCAACATTTAGCGTTGGTGACTCATCTTGATCATTGACCAAGGTTGACTCATCTTGACCTTTGGCCTGAGCAACCTTAGCTTGAATATGGGTCCAAGTTGATTGGATTTAATTATGGCCTAGACTGATTCAACTTGACTATGAACCCCAACTAAATTGACTCAACTTCAAATTGACTTGATTTGACATTTAGCTTAGGCTGACTTGGCCCAAACTTTAACCTAGGTTGATTCAATTTGACCTTTAATTTTATTTATAAGGCTTGACTTTTGTTTCGAGCTTACATGTCTCAACCTTTGCCTTAGGCTAACCCATCTCGACCTTCAACCTCGACTTGTCCTGTATGAGATTTTGGCATGGTCAGTCCATCTCAACCTCCTACCTAAGTTAATAGGTCTCAACCTTTAATTTGGGTGGGTTAACTCGTCTCGAATTTTGTACCAAACTATCTTGTCTCGACTTTCATCCCAACTTGATTTGAGTCGAACTTAAGTTTGAACTCACTCAATTTAACCTTTAATTCAAATTGACTTAGCTAGAACTTTGATTTAAGAAGACTTAATTTTTCTTTCAGCCACAACTTACTTCAAACTTAAGATACTATATTTAGAAGTTAATTGAATTCTTACAAACTCACTCTATTATACTCCTAACCATTTCAAATGAGAAATTTAAAGGCTGGATTTTATTTTTATAGAAGGAAATTTATTCAAGAATGAATTACAACTAATCAATTAGCCATGAATCAAATTTAAGCATTAAATTTTCTTTATGTATTTTTAATTGCTTTAAACCGTGCCTATGTATTAAAGTTCAAAACATAATCAAAGAAAAAAAAATTTATATAAAGTAGGTGTCTATGTATTTTTGTTTTGAATAGTTAAATTTATATATCTTTTTTTAATAATCGTGTTCTTTTCATTAGTTTAAATAATTAAAAAGTAACACCGTTTTAGAAAGAAAAACACTTAATTTATTAGTATTGGTGATAATCATTGATAGCAATCGATTAGGTCGATGAGCTTCCTTCAACCTCTCCTTTTGGTTTGCTTTCAGTGTGTCATTTTCACTTTACCAGGTGCTTGTATAATGCTGCCACCAAAATAGTAAGTGTGCAATGCATCCAAAAAATTTATAAAATAATGTTCGTTTCAAAAACTTCATTTACAAACTATTTCTTGGTTTATACTTTGACAATACAATCAATGAAAAATATTTAACTAATTTCAAACCTAATTCAAATTTTTATATTTAATTTTTCTTATCAAATATTATCTCCTTTTTTCCTTCTTCCCCCTTTATCATAATCATCATCATCTCAACATCCTAAAAATAATATCATATTTACTTCTTAATATGCTTTTATTTTAATTTAATAATATATATGAATAAAAGTTAAACTTTCCTGGAGTACCAAAGGCTACCATATTGGAATCAATTATTTCTTTTCCACAAGAAAATTATTTCTTTTCAAATTTTAGGGCATATATTTAAAATTGTTCTACAGGTGTATAAATGTAATAGTGAAGGAATAGAGAAAAGGGTTATATCATAACTAAGTTGGAATCCTATTTGAAAAAAAAAAAATTGAAGACAAATAGTATTTGTAGTAATTATTTTTTACGTTAATTTGGTAATAGTCTACCAACAAGCATTAATTAGTTCGGAAGCATTTTGTTTGCAAATATTTACTTTAAAATTGCTGCAATTATGAGTTATAAATATTACAATATTTAATTTTTTTATTACTGAATTACTTACATGTAAAAAAATATAATGATAAGGTAACTTTATACACACATGTTATTTATCATCCAAAATTATGTCAAAGGTGTTTTTATCTTAATATTTATGTTACAGTAATGTGTTGTTTTATTATTCATTACTGTTGTCTTGTATCTTAATTAAACTACCACCTATTCAGAATTAATAGGAGGTTTCTTTATATTATAATATTATCACTTTCAAGTAAGTTTTGTATGAAATGAGATATTCATGAGCATGATATAATTTTAGAATAGAAATCTATAGATTGTTTTAATTCTTATACACTAGTTATATTCGTGTTAACAATTTTCTATATGTACTTCATCAATTCTCTTTCCTAACTAAAATATTAGTATTTTGAAAATAAAATTATAAAAATTAATAGTAGTTTTAATTATACTCTGTATTAATTTTTTTTAATTATACGTTTTTTTAATCAAAATTATAGTAGTTTTAGTCATTTAAAAAACTAACTAAAATTAATAATATTCAATAAAGTTTTAATATTTTTATGTATATTATTATTATTATTATTATCTTTTTATATATTAATCATCTCAGTCTATCACTAAATTTCATATGTAAAGATTCAAACAAAAGAATTTCTGCCAAACTTCTAATTATGTTAATAAATATGAATTAATTATAGTGTCTTATAAATACGATATTATTACATTGAATAAACTCGATGAATGTAAATTGAATGAACTGAATCATGCTTTGTGAGTGTGTTTCAGATTTTGAAATGATTATCAATTGCAATAAGTCAAAGAATTTCAGCACGGAAAAGGAAAGCCAAATTCAAATTTGCTTTTCCTCATCACGTGCCACGTAGCGCGTGGGTGGCACAGGCACAGGAGAGAGTGCACCTATCAAACCGCACAAAATACGCACCCCTTTCAGCTACGAAAACGAAATATAGAATGAAAAAGGAAAATTACGCACTTTCCCGGAAAAAAATTTGTAGCGAGAAAATAATGGAAAAGAGAAAATTCCCCGATTCCCCTTATTTAGCTCGGAGAGAGAAATAAAACAATTAAAAACTATTCTATTTGAGAAAACAAGTGACGACTTTTCCGGTTATTATTTTCATGGTTCCATTCCCGAATTTCGTTAGGGTTTCGTAATTTTGCACTCTTCGGTGCTTTATCGATTAATTTTGCTGGAAAGTTTTCATCTTTTTTCGGCTTCTGAGTTTGGTTCGTTAAATCCAGAATTGATTGTGGTGTTCCTTGAAGAAGTTTCAGAAAGAGAGGGGGGAGGAATACGATGTCTTCTTCTTCTTTTTCTTCTTCTTCCTCAGCTACTGTCGCAGTGGATAAGGCGACCAGCGATCTTCTTATGGGCCCTGATTGGACCATGAACATCGAAATTTGTGATTCCATCAATTCTAATCATTGGTAATCTTCAACTACAAGAAAAGGAGGAAGATAGATAGCATATCAATTTCAATAATATGTTTTATTTGATTTTGGAGGGTTTGACTTTGATCAACTGCCACATGTTTATGCCTTTGAATGCGATGTTCCATTTAATTTTTGCTAGTTCTGTTATCGGATGGAATTTTGGGGCTAAAGTTGTTGTTGATTGTAGTTAGTATGTTCTTTGTGATGAAACTGACTAGAGGATTGTATTATTTGGGAAATAGTGGAAACTGGTTGTTCTTTTTTTTTTTTCTGATTCTATTTTTTTTTCATTTTTTTTAATTCTGGTGATTTTTTAATTTTCTCATGCATTACTGTTGTCAAAATTGAACAATTATTTTACTCTTAGTTCCCCCCTCTCAGAAAAACTAGGGTCCATGGATGGCAGTACAAACTATGCTTCTTTCTCGTTTTCCTTTCACACCTTTAATAGTAGTCTCTGGGAATTTTCACACTGGTCTTTTAAGTTTTTACTGAATCATTGATGAATTTCTCAGGCAGCTGAAAGATGTGGTAAAAGCTGTGAAGAGGAGATTACAACATAGGAGCTCTAGAGTTCAATTACTAGCTCTCACGGTACTTTGTTGGCACTGGCTTTTGGTCTTACTTTTCTGTATTTGGGTCAAGTTGTTTGTGGCCGTGTTCTCCTGAATTGGCTAACTTTCAAATTCATTTGTTTGGAGCTTGATTTCTGGTTTCTGGTTGTCTACCCCCAGCTGCTGGAGACAATGGTAAAGAACTGTGGTGATTTTGTTCACTTTCAAATTGCTGAGAGAAACATACTGGAAGAGATGATTAAAATCATAAGAAAAAAGGTAAGGTGATTTTAGTTGGAAATTTAAGGTGTGTTCCTGATTCAGTTTGTATATTTGATGCTTGAAAGAAATTGTTGTTGCATTCTTCATGGAATTTGTGATTATAAATGCAAACGTCAGGATTTAATCTATTTTGCTATTATGACATCTGATGGTGTAATTGTTTGAAGTGCATTCTACCTAATTCAATTTATTTCCAAATCAAGTCCGGCGGCTACTGCTGTACATTGTTAATGACCAGTATCTTCTAGTTTCCTTTTGAGATTTCCTTGCTATATGATTCTAGATTAGATAGGTTACTGGATCATTGGCTCAAACCTATCTGTGTTAAATGTATGCGGGAAGTATTTCTCTTTCAAAATAGTTGTAATGTTGAGTTGAACAGTTGTAGAATCCATCTACATGTTGATACGTAAATATAAAGATTTTTTTTTATTGGTAAATTCACCAGGCTTTTACTTATCAAAACAATAATATTTACTCATCAAAATATGGATGGGTTCTATTTCTGTTAAATTACTACCATTTCTTGCAATTTTTTTTTGTTTGATTTGTCTTGTTTTAACATGAAATACATGTAATGATTCTTCAGGCAGATATGCAAGTGAGGGATAAAATCTTAATGCTGCTGGACTCATGGCAAGAAGCATTTGGGGGACCAGGTGGTAGTCATCCTCAGTACTATTGGGCATATGAGGAGTTAAAGGTAGCTGTCTAGTTGATAAAAGAAATTTATTGATTTTGTCAATCTCTCTTCGTTGATAGTTTCATGTGAAAGTGGGATGCTAGATTTTCAAAATTATATAATTGGCATTTGTGAATGTTCTGTAAATGATATCGGACTCATCTTAAGGGTGAGATCACAAATTTTAAGAAGATACTTTTAGTTCTTATTATAACAAGTATACAAATTTGTATTTTGTAGTTAAATGCGTCACCTCAAAAAACACATTTGCCTACAACTCTAAAGTGTTCTTGCAATTCTTTAGTGACAAATGGGTGAATTTTAATTTTTTATGGTTCCACCACATACTTTATACCATCAACATCTCAGCTTGGAGAATTGTCCCCTGGCAAAAGCCAACCATCATCCCGTTTGTTCCAAATTTACATTTACATTTTAAGTACAGGATAAAAGATTACATTGATATGTGAGCTGTAATTTAATGAGCATCAGATTATATCATCATAATATTAAGTTGAATTATATGAATGGCAGCGATCTGGAGTAGTTTTTCCAAAGAGATCACCAGATGCAGCTCCAATATTTACTCCTCCTCCTACCCATCCAAATATAAGAAGTATGCAAGCTGGATATGGGATGTCGAGCAATTCATCTAAAACACTGGATGAAACTATGGCTACTGAGATAGAAAGTTTGAGGTTAATGTTGACCTTCTATTTTTTCCATTTCAACCTTGCTTCCCCTGCTGTCCTTTGTGACAGAACTTCTGTGTGCTATCAGATGAGTCTTTAAGCTAACTTTTCTTGAAATACTCAGTATGTCAAGCTTGGAGTCCATGCGACATGTTTTGGATCTTTTGAGTGACATGTTGCAGGCTGTGAATCCTAGTGATCGTGAAGTAAGTTAAATGGTTTTCCTTGGCCTTCTGAATCCTCCTTTCTTGAACTGAAACGATTTAATATCTGATTTTTATGCTTTGTAGGCGGTAAAAGACGAGGTGATTATTGATCTAGTTGATCGCTGTCGCACAAACCAGAAAAAGTTGATGCAAATGCTAACTTCAACTGGGTTAGTTTTACTCGGCTTTTCCATCTGGCACACACCCAAATATACTTGATTGTTACTTCGTGAAGTCTGTCCACTTATATGTGGAATAATCTTTTATCACCTTGGTTTTGTCATAGGGACGAGGAGCTTCTTGGACGAGGCCTCGAATTAAATGATAGTATTCAAGGTTTGCTAGCTAGGCATGATGCAATTGCTTCTGGTACTGTGTTTCCAATTCAAGGAGCAAGTTCCAGCGCTGTGCCAACTGAAGTTCAACCAAGTGTAGATCAATCCAATGTTAACAGCTCCACCCTTGGAGAGGCTTCTTCAACGCTTAAAGCTAGCTCTTCAGCCGTAGTGCTTTCCGAAACCCGGAGCCAGAGTGATGAAGAGGAAGAAGATGAATTTGCACAGCTAGCTCGGAGGTCCCTTAGAGCTGATACTATATTTAATATTTTGTGGCTCATGGTTATTGAAACCTGTTTTTCTTTTCAGTCTTGCTTGCTTATAACTTATCTAAGAAACAAACTAGTTTAGAATATATGTTTAGGTCTTTTAAGTATAGACATGAATGGATAAGCATGCACAAATCGTTGTATTAAGCATGTATTTTCATTTTATACTTCCACGCATGCTATTTCATTCTCTCCTACAACTATTTTTTAGAAGCCCCAATTTTGTAATAGAATTTCTTGTAAAGCCCATATACCAACATATATTGCAGGTCATGGGTGATGAAATTGTTCTACCGTGTCAATAATTTTTTATTTAATGTGAACTCTTTACTATTGCAGGCATTCTAAGGCACAGCCAGTGATTTCAAATGATACCGCAACTGGTTCCAGCCAAAACTCAGTGTCAGTTAACACTACCAGCACAACTCCACATGTTCCAAATCCCGCAACTTCAGTTCCATCCAATGCATTAGTTCTTTCCAACCCACCTGCCCCAGTTACTACTGCAAAGGATCAGGACATTATTGACTTACTGAGTATTACTTTGTCAGTGTCACCATCCCCACAGACAAGTTATGCATCGTCTCCACAGACAAGTTATGCACCATCAGCCTCTAGCCAAGGCATACATCAGACACCTGTTCAGTCCACATCAGAAGGGTATTCTTTTGCTTCCCAAACATATCCGGGAAATCTGTCATACAACAGTTACGTTGTCCCTTGGGCTCAACCTCAATCTAAGTCAGAATTTCAAGCCCAGCCTCAACAACAATCGTATCAATCCCGGTCTCAATCCCCAACTCCACCCTCATCTCATAATACACATTATGAATTTGAACAACAGCACCATCAAACGACCCAGCAGGACCGGTCTCAGCCCCAATCTGAGCAATTGCAATCTCAACCAGTACTACAATCCCCACATGTATTGCACCAACAACCTCAACATAATCAATATAGCTCTCATCAACAACATTTGCAACCTCATAATGAACAGCAACCTCTACAGTATCAGCCGCAGCACCAAACACTGCAATCTCAACCCCAACAGCATTCACAGTATCAGCCCCAAACGGTACAAGGTCATCAGCCTCAAACTCAACCTCAGCAACAATTTCAGAATCAACCTCAGCAACAGCAACAATTTCAGAATCAACCTCAGCCACAGCAACAATTTCAGAATCAACTTCAGCAACCGCAACAATTTCAAAATCAACTTCAGCAACCGCAACAATTTCAGAATCAACATCATCAATACCCTGCAAGATATCCTCCCCCACCATGGGCAGCTACACCTGGATATGCCAACTATCAAAATCACTCTCCTGCTACAAATTTGATTTCAACACAAGCCAATACAACAGTATCGTATCCTTTAGCTCCAGGAGTAAGGACGCCCGTGCTACACAATAATTCATTATCTGCCAGAGGTGGTGTCGGTGGAACTCCTGCAAGTGCAACTGGACAAAAGACTTTTGTTCCATCTTATAGGCTATTTGAAGATTTGAATGTTTTCGGAAACACAGATGGAAAGGTCAGTGGTTCATCATCTGGCTTGTCAGGGACAAGGGGACCTGGTATGATTGGTGGGCGTAAGTGAAGTGTTGTCTTATGTAAAAAAATGTATTGATATACTGTAAAAAATGGGACCAGAAGTATTGTTTGCAGCTTCTCATTTGCATCTTATGGAAGCTCTCTAGATCGATACAAGTGACTCTTCCTATTCTGAGTAACAACAGATCATAAAGTTAAGCTGAGTCTTACCTCAGACGACAGACTTTGAACATTCTTTGATGTAATATTTTAGTTTCTTGTAGTGGTTTTCGTACTTATGTTCATTGATTGATCGTTAACCACTATAAAGGGCACTTAAAATGCGGACACGTGTCGAATGTCATTAATTATTGAGAACATATTCCCTTGTAAGATAGGCTGCAAATCACGTTAGTTAACAGAAATCAATACAGATTGACAAGCCTGATGTGAATTTTTAACAAGGGCAAATTACTTTTCATCGCATTGGTATATACGAATCTGGATTTTGGATCAGTAAAGCGATTTAAGTGTGCAAAACTTTAGATCGGCTTAAATTCAGAATTTTCGAGCCATTCCGGCATAAACTAACGTGGCGCAATATATTTAGGGTTTTGGGATTCATATCCATTTTCGATCCCTGGTATTTCTCAAGATATATTTTTAATTCCATTGCTCTTTTGTTGTAATATTTTTATATAATCTAGATGCTGTCATGCAAAGTTTTATTTATTTATAGAAATTGTTTTTTGGTAACTTAGAAGAAGGTGAATAAGGTTTCTAGGAAAATTGAGTTTAGGTATTTTTATTTTTAGAGAAGATAATCACTGTGAGATAAATAGTATAATATTATGTTATCTAAAATAGTTTGTGATTTCTTTTATAATAGATTTCAATTTTCTATATTTAGAGTTGTTTAGTTATTTTTAATAATTTTCATGAGACAAAATTATTATTATACTCTAAAGTGTTAGTTTAAGTGAAATGTTTACATACACCACTTTAACTAAAATATTTAATTTGCACTTGTTTTGATAGAGTCACTTTGCATTTTATTAGAAACTTTAAATCATACTCACTTTAAAAAAAATCTTTAAACTTTTTTGTGTGGATAAGCTTTCTTTAGATGTGGTGGGAGTAAATTTCAAACCCCACTCATGGATATTTTTTATTACTCCAACATTTTTCTCAAAATATTTCTATTTATTATATTCATCATTTAATCGAATTACATCCACACATATAAAAAAACACACAGAAACCAGTGATATTTTTGTAAGATTAACTATTTTTTTAATAAACTCAATATTCAATAACAAATAATAGGAGCCTAAAGTATGACCTAAGTCTATTGTGAAAAACACATCAATAACAATAATGGAGGATTGCATTTTGTAAGAAGAGACAACAGCCAAAGAAGCCATGGATGAACAGGAGAGAGAAACCTTTAAAATTCAAGATTCTCCAATCAAGGCACCTAAAAAAGGAAAAAGAGCAACCTTGATGCTTTGAATAGCTGCTTGAGAGGAGATGGGAATGCGACCACACATGATGAACTTAAAAGAGGAAAAAGAGCAACCTTGACACTCTGAATCATTTCTTGAGAGGAGACGAGACGTGTCACACGCACGAGGGAAAAGGAGCTGGAAGCATGTAGGAGCTTCGATGAAGGCATCATTGATGGCACGGTGGTCATCTGGCTGAAACGATAAAAATTG